TAAATAAATAAAAGAAAGTGGTGGCCTTCAGTAGGTAGCTGTGCAATAAAAATTTTAATTAAACTAAAAGTACTGTATTTGCTGTCTTAGGGACCTTTGTCCGTAATATTAGTTCCTTTTGTATGGCTGACTCCCCATCCTTTAAGACTCCATGTATAGTACCATCTTAGTGAGGCCTTTTTGAACTGCTCAGTAAATGAGTTTTTCCATGTATCTTGACACCCTGCCGATTTCTTTCATTGGACTTCACCTTTCATAATCACCTATTTGTTTACTTACCTTCTTTCTACTTCAGTAGACTATGCTCTAAGAGGAAAAGAATATGAATGCCATCTAAAAAGCATTCAATAAATGTTGGATAAATAAAGTAAATGAATAAAATGAGATGCCATTTTTGAAATCTTACCTTGTTACTGACATTTTTAAAGAAAAATATGTGAGACAAGATGGGATGGGTACAGCCATTGTGCTGCTTGGTAAATTGGTGTTACCTTTCAGAATGGAAATTTTGTAAAGGTAGCAGGAGCCTTAAAATTCATGTCTTTTGACCCAGTAATTTTACTTCTTGGAAACTGTTCTAAAGAAGTCATCTCTGCCAGGAGATGCAGAAGCTTTCTTCCTAGCTCTTCTATAGTCACTGGTATTCCTTCCTAAGAAAAATAGACAGAAATTTAATTGGGCCTTGTCTTAACAGTTGTCTTCTTCCTCTTTCTGTGCCCTTCAATGAGTAAGTTATGCAAAGGACTCACTCCTTGGCTAGGCTGAGTAATCTTTAATATTCTCACAAAAGTCTTGCCCCTCAGTGTGCTGGTGGTAAATTTGGATTTGGGTTTTGGGGGAAGGCAGAGGCCCTGTTGAGGCCCTGAGCCAAAGTGTAGTACCCTAATCCAGTTTACCAAAGAACCTGGCTTTGGGGTATCTAGCAGTAATCCAGCTAAAAGTGGTACTTTGATTTCCCTTTTGGTAATTTCCCCCCCATTCTCCCATTCTCTGTGCTGTTCCTGCTGGACACCCAACTATATCGTGCACACGTGTGCGTGTGTGTAAGGCATTTGTGTATTCCTGGGTTTTTTAGCTCAGTGCTTTCCTTCGTCATGTCAGACACATACAGAAAATATTTTAGGACCAACAGGGATAATGGAAAGTTCTTAAGTTCTTCATGCTCATTGTTTTTCCACTATAGGTCACAATCCATTAGTGAAATCAATCAAGTGGGCTGCGACTATCATTAAAATAAATGAAGATAATAGAATACATTATTTATAGTTGAAAGAATTATATGAGTATGTATTTATAACCTTACAGTACTTTTTATGTGGGTCGCTGTCAAACTTTGAAAGCTATTTTGTTCTAGCCAAATACCAATTAATGATGCCTAAGCTTCTCTTTTGTTGCATCATTCTTAAATGGGGCAAGATTTATGAAAAGAGATTCAGGCTTAGTATATTGCAGAATTTGAAAAATGAAACATTCAAGAGACTGGCTAAATAAGTCATGATGACCTGTCATTTCCAGTTAGTTGCTCAAGTTAGTATTCTCTTTCTTTTTTCTTTGTAGGTTTTGCAGTGAAGGTCCAAAGGTTAGCAACAGCTTTCTCAGTTCTTGTAGAGTCAGTGGAGCCGTAAGGTAAGGAATGTGCCATAATATACCGGGAACAGCACCGAGGAATCAGATTGGAGCCTCAGTTCTGTGACAGCCTTGGGCATAGTATTTAACTTTTTATCTGTTTACTCATCTATAAAATGGAGCTAATATGCATATCTGTTTAAGGTTGCTGTGAATAGAATATACCGTATTGCATTCAAAGTGCTCAGCTGGTTGCTGGACTCCAATGAGTAGAATTACTTCCAGGCTGTTTTGCCTTGAACATTATTGAATCTCTTTCTTTGTGCCTTAGTTTCTCCTTCAGCTCACGTTTCAGCTAATATTACTAGATGCTGCTTTGGAAGATGTAAAAACTTCTCTAATTACTTCACAGGAATTTGAGAGCGTTAAAATCAGAAGATAATGTGAAAAGTACTGCACAAATTTAGATGGTATTAATTCCAGTAGTAGCAGTCATAGGAAACTGTTTGCATTGTATATGAGCTGATTAATAACTGTGTGTCCAAAGCAGTAGAATCTGCAGTTGATTTAGATGGGAATAAATAGGTACTTCAGTTCTCTAAAAGTGCCAACCTCTTTCTGCCTTAGGACCTTTGCAGTTTTTCCTTTTGCTTGAAATATACTTCTCTGTCTCCACACCTCATGTCTGTCTGTCTGGTTCCTCCTTATCAGCTGAAATCATACCACTTTAGAAAGGCCTTCTTTGACCATCCAGTCTGAATAGCTTCCCGGTTGGTTTTTTAAAAATCACTTTAACCATAACATTGATTTACAAGCTGGTTCTCAATTTTGTTTTCTGTTTCACTCCTCACCAACTAGGATGTAAGCCTTAAGGATCAGGGACCTTGCCTGTGTTATATATATATATTTTTTTTCTCCTGCACTTAGATCAGTGCCTAACAAAATAAATATTTGTTGAATGTTTGAAGATAGTGTAAAGTATGAAAAATTATCCATAATTGTACTTCTCAGAGATAAATAACAATTATTGGTAATTATGGTATATAGTTTTCTAATTTTCTGTGTGTGTGCTTACATATTTACAAGTGTCTGTGATTTTATGTTTATACCATTCATTGAGTCTCCAGATGAGTATGTTTTACTGTATTTTGTGTCTATGAAATTGGGATGTCATATAATCAGGGGTATGCCATGATGTATTTGGCAGCATTTTTCATTTTCAGTGGCACATAAAATGAAGATGTGTCTTAAAATCTGTAGCATCTTAAATTTGATGAAACGCAGTATATATTTGAAACAAATGAGATCATGTTCAGCTCTTTCCCCACCTAAATATCTTGAACATTTTCCAATATCACTGTGTTTAGATCTGTCACATTATTAACAGATATCTAGTATATTATTATGGGTGTATCATAAATTGTTCAACCAGTTCCTCTTGGTGGACATTTGGAGCTTTTCCAATTTTGTGTTTGTGTTACGAACAGTGCTGTGTTGGATATCCTTGCACATATCTTTATGCACTCGGGAATTTCTTTTGATGGAATCCCTAAATCAGTGAATACACATATTTTCTATAGTGTATGAGGGTGCCTGTTTCCCTATATCCCTCAGTAGTACTGCATCTTAGGAAATTTTTTAAATTTTTATTAATCTGAAAGTGAAAAAATACCCTTAATGTTGTATCATCATTTCTTTAATTATGCATGAGATTGAGCCTCTTTTCGTGTTTATGAGCTGTTTTTATTTCCTCTTCTCTGATGCGCTGTGAATAGGACAATAAACCTTTAATTGGCTGGCACATTTGCTGTTATTAGAAAAGAAGTCATCACAGTTTGGAGCCATGCATTATATAATTTCTTGGGAACAACTTTCAGGGCAGAGCCTACCCTTGTGGAGAGCAAGAGGGCTTCATAAGGACCCAAGACTGGAGGAGACAAAATTCAGGAATAATCAGAACCTTTACAGTGGAGGCCAAGAAGGGGTACAGTATCATCAGTTTATGAGCTGAATACTGGAATTTAGACTATGCTGTTAAAGACTTTAAATGTTCGTCTTCTCTTTACTGTGACTTGGTTGTGGTAATATTAGGTTAGTAGATCTGAAATAGGGCACAACTCAAGGACTTGAGTGAAGTCACTATTGGATCTAGAGATTAAATCTATGATCATTTAAGAGTAGATTAATCGAGTTTTTTGCACAATATCAAAATGTTCTTGTCAACATTTTTGATCACCTTTGCTGTGCCGGAGGGTGTCAGTTTCAAAGATAGATATCAGATGGTCTCTGTCTTTTAGGTTCCATTGCAGCCTTTAAAGAAGACAGATGTCAATCCTTTGGTAAGAATGAAGCCAGAAGGTACATGGAATGTAAAGAGCACAGAGGAAGGTGTTTTAGTCTAAGAGTTTAAGGGAGACTTCTGGCTTCAATATGATAACCTAAACTGAGTCCTGAAGGATCAGAAAGAGTTAGCTTTGAGTAGTAAGTACTGAAGGATACAACAGCATGAGAGAGGGCATGCATGGATGAAATGGACTATAAGTAGTAGAGTTTTCTTAGAACATGAAGTTTGAGGTTAAGAGTGACTAATGAGTCTGGGAAGGTAAACAAGAACCAGATCATGGGGGCGCATGGGTGGTTCAGTCGGTTAAATATCTGCCTTCGGCTCAAGTCATGACCCAAGTGTCCTAGGATCTAGTTCCGCATCTGGCTCTCCCTCTGCCATTCCCCCTGCTTGTGCCGCTCTCTCTCTCACTCTCTCCCCCTCTCTCATTCTCTCTCTCTGTCAAGTAAATAAATAAAATCTTTTTTAAAAAAAACAAAAGAACCAGATAATAAACAGCCTTGTATGCTATGCTAAAAATTCTGCATTTTGTAGATAAAGGGGAGTTCTTTTGAATAATGACGTGGTGAGATTTGCATTTGAAAAATCATTGCCTGAAGATTGATTTAGAGGGTAAGACCAAAGGCAAGGAGACAGTTCTGGTAATCCAGGTGAGAGGATTAAGGCTTTAGCTCAATGGAAATAGCTTACCAGAAAAATCATTAACTTGTCTTGGTTTTTACGGAATTTCACCCTCTTCTTTAGAGGTTAAATTTCCTGGGAACTGAGATTATTATTTTGCAGAGGTGACTTATATTCAGTGTCCAGTTGTTTATTCCTTTATGTCTATAAGAAGTTTATACTTTCATAAATACCTGCTTAACGAGTATAGGTCTGTATGGAGATGGTTAACAAGTGTTTTTGATGATTACAAAAAGTAGATGTTAATAACCCTTTTGGTATGCTTGGTGATTATCTTGGAGGGAAACAATTTTAGAGCATTTTGCTTTTGAGTAAAAGTAAGGATTTATTAGATTAAATTTAGGTTATATAATTTTTAATTTATGGATTTATAATTTCTATGTGCTAATTTCTTTTTTTTTTTTTTAAGGCTACTAGCAAAAGATGGTGGATCGCTTGGCAAACAGTGAAGCAAATACTAGACGTATAAATATAGTAGAAAATTGTTTTGGAGCAGCTGGTCAACCTTTAACTATACCTGGAAGGGTTCTTATTGGAGAAGGAGTATTGACTAAGTTGTGCAGAAAGAAGCCCAAAGCAAGGCAGTTTTTCTTATTTAATGATATTCTTGTATATGGCAATATTGTCATCCAGAAGAAAAAATACAACAAACAGCACATCATTCCCCTGGAAAATGTGACTATTGATTCCATCAAAGACGAGGGAGACTTGAGAAATGGATGGCTTATCAAGACACCAACTAAATCATTTGCAGTTTATGCTGCCACTGCCACTGAGAAATCTGAATGGATGAATCACATAAATAAATGTGTTACTGATTTACTCTCCAAAAGTGGGAAGACACCCAGTAATGAACATGCTGCTGTCTGGGTTCCTGACTCTGAGGCAACTGTATGTATGCGTTGCCAGAAAGCAAAATTCACACCTGTTAATCGTCGTCACCATTGCCGCAAATGTGGTTTTGTTGTCTGTGGGCCCTGCTCTGAAAAGAGATTTCTTCTTCCAAGCCAGTCCTCTAAGCCTGTGCGGATTTGTGACTTCTGCTATGACCTGCTTTCTACGGGGGACCTGGCCACGTGCCAGCCTACTAGATCGGACTCTTACAGTCAGTCATTGAAGTCTCCTTTAAATGATGTATCTGATGATGATGATGATGATGATAGCAGTGACTAAGGACATGTTTTGAAATATTTAATTGGGTGTGACTACCTGAGAAATCAGCTCTGGGGGAAATGTAAAATTCTGAGCTTTCTCTCAGTTTTGCTCTAGCCGTGAATTTGCCTGAGAAACTTTTAACCTATGTGCCTCAATATATCCTATAGAAAATAGGTCCTGTCATTGTGTCCTCACCCCCATCCCCACCCAGCTCCCCGCTCTTCTACAGGGATAGATTATTGGCAAGTATATCAGATAAATGTTGGTTTCTTATTCTTGTTTAATTTTAGATTATTTTGTTGGAAGGTTGGGAAAAGATGTTTATTTAACAGATCATGTACTACATTGTTGTTTACTATATGTTCTGTTATATGGAAAAACTAAAAGCAAAAAATGATGGGAAAAGGAGTATAATGCGGTTAGCTAATATTATTACCTTTTTCCTAACCATCCTATCTAATAGTTAAGACACCAGTAACAAAACGTGATTTGAAAATATTTTGTTCGACTGTTTCATATACCAAGTGGTGCCTTATCATAGTAGCACTGTTACGTGAAATTAGCCCCTACCTTCTCACTTTTAGTTTGTTTTGAAAATACACTGGTGCTCTATGAGGTGATAAAATGAGTATTTATGAATGGGTGTAATTTAAAAATACTTCTCATCTGCCAGCTACAAATAACTAAATTTAGAGCTTCTTCATTCTATAGGAATAAATATTTTTCCATAAAATAGTTGTGATTATATTTTTATGTTTTATAGGTACCAAATTATAATTGTTAAATATATATTTTAAATCTGTTAGGTTTTCATTCTTAAGAATTTGGTTTGAAATTTATCAAATACGGAATTGTCACATTTCATTAGTTTCTATTTTAGTAAAATGTATTTGTACGTATAAATTCATCTGGTTTAACATTACTTCTAGAATGAAAAATCTTATAAAACCTTTGAAATTAAACAAACTCTAAAAAAAAAATCCCATGATAGAGCACAGATCTACTTAGGCTGAAGACTTGGAAGAAATAATGTGTAAGAATGGTCAAGACCAGTTAAGTTTGACTAGACTTTATATTGGTGGAAGTATTGTCTATTTCAGTGTGAAACTCTTGAATTTGCAAATATAGTGTTATATTTTATAAAGTTTTGTAAAGTCCCAAACAATATTTCTATTTTTGTAAAACAATTGTATGTTTAATCTGTTTCTGAAATCCTTTTGCAATCTGTAGAAATAGAGTAGCAATTGATCTTTCTAAATTGTGAACTTTATTGAGTCAGTCTAGATTGCTTTTGAGAATTGGTAATTTTTCACTCTTTGCTTTTGAGGCAGCCATTTAGGTTGAAAGTGTATTTATCATATAAAACTTGATGCATTTTGCACTATTCTCTCCATTTGTATGCTGCAAATAACTACAGTCTTTCAAATATGAAAAAATCAGCCTAAAGTTTGTTATAAATTCCAAACTTTTTTGTTCTTAAACATTTAAATCTGGATATATTGCGAATGTCATGAGTTTTGATTCAGTAATGTGATGGAGAATTTTGGGGTTTGCTTAAGGCACTAATTTTACTGTTAAATTGTGAAGGTAGATATATAGATTTCCCTGTAGGAAATGTGAAACAAAGACACAACAGTTTTTTTTGTTTGTTTTAATATCAGATGGACATTTGTTTCCAAGCAATATATACATATAATTAATCAACATATCTCAAAATGACCATGAAACCTGAGAAGTGCTAATGGAGACTTGCTGGTACATAGGAACCTAGCAAATTCAAGAACCAAGGGGAAATGTTCTGGGATGACATTTGCATTGTCAACGTCTGTTGACTCTGTTTTTACAATAAAAAATATTTTACAACTTAACTCTGTGCATATTGTGACTTGAAGATTTTCCCCCCCTTTTTAAGGTAATGGAGGTATTATGCATATTTTGCTTCTTTCAATAGCTGTGAGGTGCCTTTTATGTGCCAGGCATTGTTCTAAGCACTAAGGGGCAGAGCAGTAAACAAAATTTCCTTTCTCTTCATGGAATTTATATGCAGATAGATTCCAAGATGTGTTTTCTTCCAGAATGTGTTCTGTAATTTTAAAAGCTTTTCTAAATCTTAGTTATATGTAAACCTGAAATGATTTTGGTGCCTATTTTTCATGCCATTCCACTTGAGTGAAATGGACTATACTGGACCTGCAGTACATTAACCAAATTGGTAACTGTTGATGTAAAGGAAGCAAGGTTCTGTAGATACCAAGAGAAAATACTAAATTGAATACACCTTAATACAGGAATTCATACCTTTGGGTCAAGTGCATAAAATGTCCATAGTTAATGTAAAGTCATTTGTTTATATATCTTTATCACCTTTATGCTGAAATTCTTATAAATAGGTAGCATTCAATTGTATACATAATGATTCTTGAAAGGTCCCAGGACTTTAGCCACACTCTTTTCTCTCAGATATGCTAATTTTGTTCTCAAATATAGGTTGTAGCTTTAAAGAGTATAGTAGTGATTATTTACATATCCACATGTATTAGATTGCTATACATTTTACAAAAATAAAATTTCATAGTCAAGTCTAGGATTAAAATACATGAAATTATATTTATTGATAGTAATTGTAAGGCTTTCTTTTAAAACTAAGTTATTTTAGATCATTCAACATTTATTAACTATAATGTCAGGCTCCATAGATTTGGTGTTGGGTGTTCTAAACTTTTTAAAGGTACGTATCTGTAAAGGTTATTATCAATGGCATTCTCTTAAATATCAAATCAAAATTTCTTAAAAATTGCTTTGTCCTCGGGGCTCCTGGGTAGCTCAGTTGGTTAAGCATCCAACTCTTGGTTTCAGCTCACATCGAGCAGGGAGTCTGCTTGAAGATTCCCTCTCTCTGCCCCCGTCTCGCTTACTTGCTCTAAAATAAATAAAATCTTTAAAAAGAATTACCTTGTACTTGGCATCTACACTAATTGAAATATTTTTCTTACAACAGTATACTCATGTGAAATTTTGCCCCTAGAAAGCAGAATTTTAAGCCATAAAACCGAGTATTTCTCTCTGCCTCCACTGGCAATGTAGTGTGGGCAAACACAAACTGCCACTGGTACCATTGCTTGGCATGCAAACCCTATCGTTATATCAAGAATTGAAAAGTAGAAGAAGTTGGTGGATTATATTGTTAACACTACCTTGTCTTCACCATCCAAACTGTTATTGTTACATTATTCATACTAGTTAAAGTGACTGCAGTAAAGCTTTGATGGTATTTTCAAATAGTTGATCAAAAAAAAAGTAGCAGTAAGTACCACTTTACTCTGAGTTTGCATACTGCTGTCATCTTAATATTTAGAAGAAATACATGCTTTACTATTCTTTATTTTTAGCAGCTTTGAGCCATAATTCACATACCACACAACTCAATTCAAGGTATAAAATTAAACGGTTTTTGGGATATTGGCTAAAAGCATGCCACTATTGCCAGAACATTTTCATCACTGCAAAAAGAAATGCACGGTTAGCAGTCTTTCCTCTTTGATTCCCCAATCCCCTAGCCCTAAGCAGCCACTAATCCACTTTCTATCTCTATGGATGTGCCTTATCTGGACATTGCACAAATGAAATCGTGTATTATGTGGTCTTTGGTGACTGGTTTCTTTCACTTAGTATGTTTTTAAGAATCATTCATGTTGTATCAAGAGTACTTATTCCTTTTTATTGCCAAATATTCTGTGATATGCTTGTCACATATTTATATTCATCAGTAGACATTTGGGATATTAACACTTTGGGGCTATTACGAATAATGTTGCTGTGAACATTTGTGTTCAAGCTTTTGTGTAGATGTGTTTTCCTTCCTCTTGGGTATATACCTCGAAGTGGAACTGCTGGGTTATGTTGTTCCTCTATGTTTAACCTTTGGAGGTTTTTCCAAAGTCTGCACCATTTTACTTTCCCATCAGCAATGTAGGAGGGTTCCAATTTCTCCCCATCTTCCCCAACACCTACTATCTCTGATTATAGCCTGTGAAGTATCTCTTTTTCATTTGCATTTTCCTAATGGCTAATGATGTTAAGGATCTTTGCGTGTGATTATTGGCCATTTGCATATCTTCTTAGGAGAAGTGTCTATTATGATCCTTTGCTCTAGGTGGTTATTATGATTGAGTTGAAGGAGTGTTATTTATATAATCTGAATAGAAGACCCTAACCAGTGCAGGATTTGCAAATGTTTTCTCCCATTCTGTGACTTGTCTTTTCGCTTTCTTGATGGTATTGTTTGAAGCACAAAAGTTTAATTTTAGTGAAATCCAATTTATCAGTTTTTTCTTTTGTCGATTATGCTTTTGGTGTCATTGCCTAACTCAAGATCATGAAGATTGACTCCTGTGTTTTCTTCCAACTCTTGAGTCTGATGAGGACTCTTGGTTATTGATACACAGAACATAGTCTTAAAATTACCTCCAGAATTAGACTTGGAAACTATTTCTCTGACAGCGAAAGACTGGGTCGTATTTATTTAGTATATTTAAATTATTTGATCAGTCTCCCTATTTGTAACCTGTCTCTCATCACCACTGCTACCTCTCTCTCACATGGATACTACTTTTTTTTTTTTAAAGATTTTATTTATTCATGAAAGAGAGAGGCAGAGGGAGAAGCAGGCTCCCAAGGAGCAGGGAGCCCAATGCGGGACTCGATCCCAGGACCCTGGAATCATGACCTGAGCTGAAGGCAGATGCTTAACCATCTGAGCCACCCAGGCACCCTCACATGGATACTTCTAACCCTACCTGGGCTCTGATGCTTCATACCAGGCTGTTCCCATCATGGATGCCCTCCTTATCCACTTAGGTTCCAACACCCTATGCTGGGCCTCCCCCACCCCCACCCCCTATGAACATCTTCACCCTCTGTTCTCTAAAACCTCATTCTGGGCTGCCCTCACCTATGGATATTCTCCACACTTGGGTTCCAGTCCTCATCAGTGGACCCCCTTTCTGTGGTGACACTCTCCTCACCCTGCCCAGCTCTGAGCCACCTACATACAGAGACACTACTCTGCTTGGTCTCTGACTCCCCTCCTTCACATGCTTGAGCCCCCTCTTCATCCTGCTTGAGCTTTGACGCCAGGCCCCCAGCCTTCCCGCTGTGTGACTTCCTTTTTCGCCATGCTTGGGGTATAGAACTATGCACCCAGCTGCCCCCATGGAAGGATGCCCTCTTTGGGCTCTGACTCCTTGCACCAGGCTATCGACCCTCCCCCACCCTTCACACCCCGTCTGCACAGTCTCCTCTAGTCTCTGTGACACTTCACACCAGCTGCCCCTCTGCACAGACCCCTGCCTTGCTCTGGCCCACCTAATGGCATTAGGACAAAATCATGCAGAAGAAGGGAAGTGCTGCACATTCCATACCTCCTAGGAAAATAAAGGCAGAAGGTGGAGGAGAGAAAAAAAGAGAAAGCAAGCAAGCAAAACAAACTCAATGGTAGCATATACAAATCAGATAGATAAAACCAGAGGTGTGAGCTACTCTGGCTAAAGGGAGGGTTGGAGAACCAGCAACCAGACCCACCCCTCACTTGTCCCAACTCCACCCCTGCTAAGACCCCAGGAGTTTGAAACCCACTGCTTTACACCGAGTCAGTGGACATCTGTCACAGCACCTGAGAACTAGCTTTCCCAAGATAAGCCAGATGGTTTCCAGTTGTTCTTATTTCATGATGATGATTAAAAAGTAAAGGCATAAAGTTATTTTCAGAGCTTCACTTTAACTTCTAAGTAAATCACAAATCAACTTGTTTTAACAGTCGT